TTTCAGGGAATTCTCTTCTTCTTTACTTTTGACTTATCTGTGCTCCTTTACATAAAGTCCATCTATTAAAAACAAGTTGCGCTTTTTATTTTAAAATCCTGTCTCACAATCTCTTTTACTGTTTTTTGAATGTTTGCTCCATTTAAATTTTATAAAGACTTTGATGTGTCTATTACTTCCATATTTCTTTTCATTTCCTGTTCATTTTTTAAACACTTTTCATCTCTCTGGCGTTTTATAAGAACACATGATCTATTTTCTTTTCTTTTTTTATAATTACTTAAACCATTTTCTTCTGGAGCAGAAAATAATATGAATATATGCAATAAACCTGCAGTTCTTTCTGTGAAAAAATCATTTTTTCATGAACTGTAATGGTACTTATTTATTGCTGTTCTTTTAAAAATAATCTTACTTAGTTGATTAGGGTACAAAGGGTCAAGGGCTACAGGAAAGTGGGTAAGACCATTGTTTCCACACTAATATCTGGGGTCCACACTGCATCTGGGGTCAGGGTTATTTACCCTTTCAGGCTTTCAGGCAATACATATTTGCTGAATATTTTAGCACTTAGATTATAACATGCATTTATAATTCATCATAGTTGATATCTAATGATGGAAGAAACTTACAAAAGTATAATTATTTATAGCCCTATTATGTTAGTATTGTTATTTACTTTGTATTAGTGTTATACATTTTCCACTATATGCTACAAACTGTCACACATTATCTTTTAAATATTAAAATATTCTTTTTTTTAAGATTCATCTATTTTTATTGGAAATTCAGATACATAGAGAGGAGAAGAGAGAGAGAGGAAGATCTGTCTGTTGATTCACATGGCTACAATGGCTGGATGTGAGCCAGTCCAAAGCCAGGAAGCAACAGCCTCTTCCAGGTCGCTCACGTGGGTGCAGGGTCCCAAGGTTTTGGGCTGTTCTCAACTGCTTTCCCAGGCCACAAGCAGGGAGATGGAGGGAAAGTAGGGCAACTGTGTCTGGCATTGATTTGTTGTGATTCTAGAAAAGGTATTTAGTTTCTCTTTGGCTTGGCTTCATCTTTTATTTGGATAATCATACCTAATATTTACAACTATGCATTTACAAATATTATTCCAGAAAAAACAAAGATTATTGCCCTCACTTTATATATATAAAAAGAAATTGAGTGATTAGCTATCTTACTTAGATTACAAATGTACAGTAGTTACTAAGTTAAATGAAAGTTAGTATTTGATCTAGGTTTTCTTGTCATCGCTCTCTATCTTTTTCAAAGCATTTAACTGCTTCTCCAAATCACATTTTGAAAAATATATAAGCATTGTTCCAAGTTGAAAATGTTATTAATTTATGAAGTAAAAGATTTGAAGATGATAATTTAAAATCACAGAGAAAAAAACTCTTTGGAGTCTAAAATCTAGCCTATAATGTAACAAGAGAATCAGCCTAGGAACAGACTGAAAATGCTTTTCCAGTAATGAAAAAGCATAAGTTTCAAAATAGAATGCAACATTACTTCAAGTGAATAAGTGATATAATGATAAATTTCTTGACATATAAGGGACATTTGGAGAGAAATTTGCCCAATCTATTCATATTTTAAACCTATGAAAAAAATTTTAGTTTTATTTTTGATTATTTTTAATTTATATGGGGTAAAAACTAAGAAAAATATGGCTTATGATTATAGAATGAGGTTGATTTCTAATGTATCCAAAATATTTAGACACACATAGAAGAAAGCATATGGAATCACTTTAGTGTTACATATGTATAAGGTTGGTTTCCTCTTATGGTATGTGGTTTTACGTGACTAATTTAATGCATCTCAGCTTCAGTTTTATCATCTACAAGAATTTTTAAATAAATATCAATCCACCTCAGTGGGTTTTTAGAAGTTATAACAGGTTATAATCATTTAACCCTGCCAGATTGCCTACCTCAATCTCCAAACAGAATAAACACCTAGTAGAAAATGGCTCTGTCACCTCAATTAGAAAAAATGCAGATATGCTTTTCTGAAAGTTGGGAAACAATTCACAATTAAAATTTCTATAATGGTAAACTTAGGTGATACAGGGCCCAGCGCGGTGGCACAGTGGTTAAGGTCCTCACCTTGCACTCCCGGGATCCCATATGGGCGCTGGTTCTATCCCAGCAGCCCCGCTTCCCTTCCTGCCTGTGGCCTGGGAAAGCAGTCAAGGATGGCCCAAAGCTTTGGGACCCTGCACCCGCGTGGGAGACCCTGAAGAGGCTCTTGGCTTTGGATCAGCATAGTATCGGCCCGGTGCGCTCACTTGGGGAGTGAATCATCGGACAGAAGATCTTCCTCTCTGTCTCTCCTCTCTGTATATCTGCCTTTCCAATAAAAAAATAATAAAAATAAATCTTTAAAAAAAAACTTAGGTGATACAAATGTGTCACTAAATTAATTAATAGTTCAAGTGTAATCTTCTTAAATTTATTTACATTTTTTAAATTTGAGAGACACTGACAAAGAAAAATAGAGATGGAAATACAGACAGGTAGATTGATGGACAGCGGGAACTGTAATTCATTGTTTCACTCCTCCAAAGCCTACAACAGTCGGGAGTATGTCAGGCCTGGGGCTGGAGCCAGAGGCTACCAGCACAATGTAGGTCTCTCATGTGGATGGTAGAAACTCAACCATTTCAGCCTTCACCACTTTCTCTCAAGGCACAGGAATCAGAGCTGAGAATCAAATCCAGGCATAGGATATGGACATCTTCATCGATAGTCTAAAGGTCTACTCCATAAAACGAATCTTGAAAAGCAAACTCCAGAACACGTTTTGAATCATTAAAGAATAAGCCCATTTTCTTAATATACTCTGTTTATCATCAAATGAAGGTTTCAGGAAATCTGATTTCAGGATCTTGGGATTGATGAAAATATAAAGTGATTCTGAGGTCTATCTTTATTCTCCAGAGGGAGATATGAGGGAGGCAGGCAGGTAGAGAGGGAGGGAGGATGGAGAGAGAGAGAAAGAGAGCAAGCAAGCAAGCAAGCACTCCCAATTTCTGGTTATTTCCTAAGTACTTGTAACAGCTAGAGCTGGAATGGGCTAAAGCTGGTAGCTGGGAACTCATGAACAGAAGACAGCAATTTGAGCCATTATTGCTGCTTCCTAGTATCTGTGTTAATAGCAAGCTGTAATCGGGTGCTGGAGCCACAAATCAAACCTAATTTGGAACATAACCATTGTTTCAACCACTACGCAAAAGGCTGACCCCTAACAATTTGACTTTACTTCTATTTTGACATTTTTATGTTCTTTAAAAAGAAATCACGATTAATTTTTTGCAAAATTCTAATGAATCCAGTTCAATTCTAATGAATCTAGTAACTACAAAAGCTAGTTCTTCTCTCATCTGTTAGACCTGAAAATTCTTCTAGTTGTTCAGATGACAGAAAAAAGCCGGGTGCCATGCTCTAACCTACTATCATCATCATTTATTCTCTGAGTTCATGACTTGTGCTAGTGTAGAAGATACAAAAATTGTTTATGTATGTACTTCAACTTCTTGTCATGCATTTGAAAAGGTAGAGCCTAGCATAAAAAATGTATCCATTCAAATGAGCCCAGACTAAATGCAAACTAAACAATGTGGACTTTACTCTGTACAACCTACATAGTGCAGGCATTCAAATAAAGAAGTTGCCATGACAGGACTCCATGGCATCAGGAAATGGTTACCATATGACTTAAAAATTTAACAGGGTATTTCCAATAGAAGAGATAATAGGAGTAAATCAAAGGGACATTCCATACAAATGATTGGCATGAATGGGAATTATTTTGTTAGAGAGCAGTAGAAAACTCATTAGAAGATACAAATGCAAAATACACGAATCTTAGAAGGCCCTGAATGCAACTTTTAAATAATTGACTTCTTTTTATTTTTAAGGGAACATAAGATTACTGAGCATTTCTTACAACTTCACTATCCTTTACATTATATAGACTTGGGATGAACTCAGAGCCTAATTCTGTTCTTTATCTTGCTTTCGATTCCTCTTCTTCCATAAGGACATTACATGTTTATTATCATAAATCAGAAAGTACAGCTGGTGAAAACTGAAGAAAATCAGATTACAATCTATGTACCCATCTGAGTATGAAAACACTGTGTACATGTGTGTATATCTATACTTCTACTTATCTAAAGTCCCATCCATTTATATGGATGTCTGTCTGTCTGTCTATCTGTCTATCTATGTTTGTGTGTATAAATACACACAAATATAGGGCCATCTTTTTGTATTAAGATACTGGTTTTATACATAACTTTAACAAACAATTATAAACATTTTTGGTAAATAAATATTTATTCTGCACGCCCTAACTCTCCATCTCTTCTATGCTACTCTTTAAAAATGCTTACTCTAGCCATCTTTAGATTTGAATTTATTGTCACAGTAAATGTTAACAGTCTCTATAAGCTTAATTCCTTTATTTCTTTGCTTGGTACCTAAAATTACTATCAAAATACATGCTTTTGTTTCCTGCTTTAGTAAAAACATCAGAAATTAGGGCATATTCTGTTATCGTCAAGAGATACAACTGTTTAATAAGCAAATAGTATGGTCCTGGCTATAATGTAAAACTATGAAAAGTACACTGTTTCCAAAATAAGAAATCCTTAAAGTATTGGTATTGCATATCAGGTTTAGCATATAAATGGACATCATGGCTCTTCTTCAAAACAAGACAATGACTTTTGGAGTAACAAAACATGTTCTGAATGATTTGAAATAAACACTGAATAACATGAGTGAATGGGTTCATGACAATAACAGTTTGAAACATGAATATAATAAATTTCAGTAAATTATTAGGTTGCACTTCATAACAAAACAAAAATTTGCATGCATGCTGAATGTGTTTAACAAACACATTACTGAGCTCTGACATATGGATTTAACTCAAGCATTATGGAATAAAAAACCCTTTTGCCTAACCTTTATAGAACTTACTCTGATAGGAAGTACGGATCCGTTTCGTTAAATCAGGATAAAAGTTAGACAGGCCACGCATGCAAAAGTTGTCTTTGGAACATGCCAGAACATCAGCATCAGCAGCAGGCAGAGAAAAGAGAGAAAAACAGTCTAAAGTGAAAGGAAGTGATATCAAACCAGAATCTAGAAAAGCCAAGATGGAGAAATTGCAGCAAGATTAGGCAATCCAATTAGAGAGGAGATATTAAAAATAAACCAATTAGAAAGTAAGAAATGATAGATGAGGGATGAGAATGCCTTTGAAATTTTATTTAATCAATTGTCTTAAAAAAGAGATGGAATTTTTTTCTGTATGTTTTTATACAATGCACTTATTTTGCCAGAGAATATATAGAGATAAATTACCTCATCAATATCACAATGATCATTTTTAATCCTTCAGACATTAAAAAAGAAATTAGATTTTAGTATTTGATGTATTTTTTAAATACGGGTACTTACTGTAGCCATGGACACTAAATACAAATCAAGTGTATGAGATTTTCAGTTTTTTCTGATTTGTTTTACTTATCTTTGATAACAGTTTTATATTATACTCAAAGAGTTCAACAAAAAAAAGACCATATTCAACAGGAATATAGGCAGGATTATAAACAATAGCTAAATAAAAATGCTCATATCACTTATTTACAATAAATTTAAAAATAATAACAAAATTTTAAGTTCTGACTATAAACGTTGAGGCACAAGTTTAAATAAAACCAAGTAAAATTTATACTGCTTTTTATCAAAATACATTCTTTTTCAGCCTACTATGTAGATACAGAAAGTAACTTAGGTGTTTTCACAAAACCCAGTTTTTCCTCACTGATTTGGAGCTTTCAAGCATTGCAAACAGTGTTGTACTGCCCCCTATTGTCTTTCTATCCTCCTGTATGAAGAATTAACCTTCCATTTCCAATCATAAGGGAATCTGCTGACACATACATACACAATTTCTCATATGTTTTCCTTATACAAGCCAGTAGCGGTAGAAGCAGAACCTGTAGAACCTGAACTTCCTAGCATTCTTAAAATACTACTAAGTGTTCAGAGTTTAAACAACAACAAACCCCAATCTTGTTCTGAAGGAAAGAGTGTATGTTCCTGGACAGGGTCTAAACTTACCACAAATGGAAAAGGTTGAAGTTCGCAAAAGAAAAGTTAACACAGGAGAGCTTCACACCTCCAAAAGGGAAACTTATTATCAATCCAATTTTAAATGTGACATGCTTGTTACTTAATAAATAGCATCAATAAACTTTTTAATTCATTACCACAAAATGTTCTTTTTAAGAGTATATTCAACAGTCTTCAATATTCAATTGATTATTTTAAATAAAAGTAGAAAATTAAGACTGATTTAAAATAACATGTATTGTGTTAATAAAGAATTTCCATCTGTAGAGCTATTGCTCAATATTTTTATAAACTAGATTAAATCAGTAGGCAACAAACACAAATTGGCAACTCTTAAACTGTAAACTGCAATTTCAATAAAACTTTGGATAATTTGACATATCAATGTAAAATCTTATATTCCAACTACTTTAAGCTTATATAGCTAAACAAATTTATTGATCCTGCCAAGAAATGTGATTTTTCATTGTTAATTAAAACTTACTGCATTTATGAAAGTAAATTCCATAGTCATTTTGCATCAAGTAAAGGTGACAGTTACAAAATGGAGTTAATACAAAAATTAAAAGTAGCTAATGATCAAGGAGTGTCTTGTAATATGGTTAGACATACTGGAAGAAAGTTAACCTGGTTAATATTACCACCGCATGCAACTTTTAAACTACAGATCTCTTATTTTCATAATATTACATTCTTTTCTAATTTCAACACTAAACAGAAGTTTAAACATCTTCCTTTCCCTTTCAAGTAGTCTCACTATGTTTCTTCCCAATTCATTTTTCCTGCATTGCATTGTAAATTATATCGCCATACATTTCAACAGTATCCAGAAGAAAATGAATTTAAAAGTAAACACAGACATTAAATTTATAACTCATTTGTTTTATTTCCTACCTGCAATGAATTGCCTGTTCTTACGAGGAGACCGTGGTTGTCGCTGGTACAGTTCACTTGATCTATACAGATCAAAGATTCCCATGCTTAGCAGTACTGTCTTCTGTATAAAATCCACCACAACTAATCCATTGCAATTCCCAAAAGCAACTCTAAGAGAGAAAAAATGTGCAACCAAAATGTATCACAACGAAGTTATTTTAAGTTTCAAATCCGACTATTGTAATATAATGCCTAGAGCTGGGGAGGGTGGGCAGTGATTAGTGCAATGTCAGGAAGGATGATTTTCTTTGACCCAGCAGACTCACTATGACACTGTGCTAAAGCAATTAATGATGACCTGCAATTATATTTTATAAGCAGTTTCATCGGGAAGGCTGTTATTACTCAATTTGCTCTGTAACTTGATGTCATACTATTTATTAAAGAATAGCACAAAAACCTTTTTTATTTTCAAAGTGGCACACAGGTCAAGAAAAAAATCACACTTTAGCAGCTACAAAAGCTCAGGCATGTAATTATGTACCTTAAGTATAATTATAATTATTACATTCCAAATCAATTCTCTTAACAAGAGAAAAAAATTAACCTCATATATTGCATATATTTTGACAATACAGTTCAGAAAATACAGCTTCTTCTAAGCACAAAAACTTGAATGGATTTCTCAGGGGTTTTTGGCTATTTACTTTGTACCATTTACTGAAAGACAAAAGACGTTTCCTTAATTCCTAAGTCACAGGAGAAATTAAAGTGGAGACCATTCTTGAGCAGGTATTTTTGTCACCTTCACTTGCAGGCATCCATTACCTCTTTTTCCTTTACAATATCATCTCTAGCTAAACAATTATGTCTCAGTTTTGTTTTTATATTTTTCCCTAAATGAAACACACACTAGTTGTAGGAATTTTACTTTACTCTACTCTACACATATTAAATGTTTTGTAGTTCACAAGGCATTCTACATCTTTTACTGAGAGAGATCTGGGAAGCTGAAAAAAAATACTATCACAAAAACCAGAAAATTATGTTGATTCTCATTTTCACAGTTTATAGGTTATATAATGTTGATAAAATTAATGAATTTTGCTGGGTCTTAGTCTCTTAAAAATGAGTATCACATGACAGCAGTTTTACATGTATCTAGTTTCCAGGGCTTTTACATATACTAAGTTTGAGCATTATTTTTAAAGAACTTTGAGAAATTTCCATGTGAAGGAATTTCATTTCAGTATTGTTAGGAAATTCCATGTTTTATGTCAAATTATAGAAATTAATATCACTAAATTTTTACTTTATAGCTAATTAATTCTCATGTATATGACAAAATTCCTGCAATCTTTAGGGGAAATATATAACTAGACTATATGACAGCAATCATAAGCTATTACTCTTTCCCTGGAATGAAAAATAACAAAACTGGACAGTAGTAATTAGACTTAGGGTATAGTCAGTGATTGTAATAAAGTCATTAAAAGACTAAATAACCATCTATCCTACTACCAGGAAACTACACATAACATAGTAAGTCACAGTTTTCACAGTTTTCACAGTTGACACAGATGGGAAGACAGAAGGATAATAAAGTACATTTCATAAATGTTCTGGCTTAATCCCTGGAGAGATGTCTCAGACTAAGGCACTAAAAACCGAGACCCAGAGGTCAGAGATTTCATGGAATTGAGGTACCAGGTTAGAGACTTAGACTGTAAAAACATAATTTATAACACATTTAACATTGTGGTTGAGATGTTGGTTAAAATCCACACATCCCATATTTGAGCACTTGGATTCCATATCTGGTCTCAGCTCCTAACTCCAGTTTCCTGTTAACGCAGATCCTGGAAAGCAGCAGGAATGGCTCAAGCAATTAGGTTCTTGTCACACATGTGATAAATCTGAATCAAGTTTCTAGAAAAGCTCACACAAGGTCAAGAGTGTTTCATTTTACTACATGCTAATCTGCACAGATCTTCTAACACATAGAACAGCAGATGGACTGCTGCCACCTCAGTAGCAGGACAAATTCACTATAGACTAAAGGTTTTCTAGAATCTACACTAAAAAAGACTTTAAAACAATGCTCATGAGTTACCTAAACGCCTTCAAGAAAATTACCCAACACTGTAGAAAAAAAAATCTAATAAAACACTACCAAAATAGTAAAAGTCACAGAGTCTAGTTAGTATACACTAAGTAACAGATAATAAAGATCAGGAAATTAGGCAAATAAATGACTGATAATTAGGAAAAACACTTCAATAGAAATACACCCTGAAATGAAGTATATAAATAGATATAAATCTAGAATATAGATGTAGAATCACTAAAATATCCTACCTATGAATAGTAACTCTCTATGTTGTGTGTATGTACACACACACACACACACTTTATTCTGCTATAAAAAAGAAATTCCATTAGTTGCATCCAAGGAGATGAAACCAAGAAATAAGCTAGGCACAGAAATACAAATATCACATTTTAAAAAGATTTTTTCATTTGAAAGGAAGAAATAAATATAGAGAGGAGGACACAGAGAGGGAGGGAGAGAGAATGGGAGAGAGATCTGCGTGCTAGAAGTCAAACTGCCACCCATTTGGAATGTTGATGCTGCAGGAAGTGGCTTAAGTGGTTATGCTACAGCACTTGCCTTGGCATGTTCCTTTTCATATTAGAAAGAAAAAAAGAAAAAAAGATCCCTCAAAGAAGAAAAAAAATAGAATGGTTGTCACTAGAGAATAGGATGTGTAAAAGGCAGGGAGAACAGAAACAAGTTAGATAAGAGACATGAAAATAGACAGGAGGAATCAGTCCTACTGCTTTATACCCTAGTAATATAATCATAGTCTACATTAATCTATATTTGAAAGTAACTAGAAGAGTCTGAAGGATTACAGCATGCCAAAATGATTAATGTTTGAGTATAAGGAAATGCTAATAGCACCTTGTGTTCATGTGTCAATCGTCTCAATCACTACTGTATTACATAAACATGTATAAACTTCATATAATAAAAATTTCTAGAGATAAAAATATTCCCCAAGTTGAAAGTCACCTGATTTTAAACATTATAGCAGAAAATAGTAGCAAATTCTGTGATATGAATTATTGTGTCCTCCTCAAAACCCAATTGCTGAACCTTAACTAAGATGATTCCATTGAGAGGAAGGGGACTTTGGGAGATGATTAGACCACAAAGGCAGAGGCTTATGAATGGAACTCATTCCTTTACAGTGGCCCCCGAGCACTGCCGTGCCACTTCCACCAAGTGATGACGATGCAGTTAGAACACACCAGCACTGAGGAATGGGTCCTCAGCTAAAACTCAATCTGTTGGTTGTCTTGTTTCCAGAAATAAGTTGAAAACTGATGCAGTTTCCCAGTTCATAATATTTTTGCAAATGTGGGCCCGGCACGGTGGTGCAGTGGTTAAGGTCCTCGCCTTGCACGCCCGGGATCCCATATGGGCGCTGGTTCTATCCCAGCAGCCCCGCTTCCCTTCCAGCTCCCTGCCTGTGGCCTGGGAAAGCAGTCAAGGACGGCCCAAAGCTTTGGGACCCTGCACCCGTGTGGGAGACCCTGAAGAGGCTCTTGGCTTTGGATCAGCATAGTATCGGCCCGGTGCGCTCACTTGGGAAGTGAATCATCAGATGGAAGATCTTCCTCTCTGTCTCTCCTCTCTGTATATCCGCCTTTCCAATAAAATAATAATAATAATAATAAATCTTAAAAAAATATTTTTGCAAATGTAGTCCAAATGCATTACAATAATGAATTTGAAAAAATAAAAATAAAAAATATCCAAAATGAAACATGAGAGGAAAAACTATAGTAAAATCAACAAAATATTTCAGACCTCTATGACAAAATTAAATTTAAGTTTAGAATATATGAATTTGATTTCAGAAAGGACATCATAATCATAACTTAAAAAGTGTTACTAAACTTAGGGTAACAACAAAATTACGATCCCAAAACCCAAAGAATGCCATACAGAAAAAGGATGAATAAAAGTGCTCAAATAAAATTACATAGCTAAAAAAAAAAACCCTGCCTAACAGAAAATGCTAAAAGCAGGAAGAGAAAAATTATATACTTCCTACCCAGGTAAAAGGTATAATAAAAGTCATTCACCAAAAGCTACACAAATCAAATCACAATCCAATGACACATCTAAAGCAATAAAGGAAAACAATGTAAGTTTGAAATTTTATACTCAGGGTATGTATCTTTCAAATGGTCAAAAAAAAGTTTCTGTGAGTGAACAGGATATTTGTCACTAGCATAACTTGGTACAAGTAATTACATAGAAGACTTATTAGCAGAAAATATTGATATCAGATGAAAATACAAAATGAGAAACATCAGACACGTTAACTAAGGATGAATGTTAGAGATTTTTCTGGGGCAGGTGTTTAATGCAGCATGGTTTGTCTCCATGGTTTTATTAAAAGGCCATTGCTTGTAAATGTCTTAGATTGCTTATCCCACTAATGTAGAGCATTCTCGGGTACTGGTACGGAAATACTGCTGTTTTCTGTGCTCGGGTCAGACTTGTGGGGCTGAGGGCAGCTTCAGTACAATGTTGAGTCTTGGGTGCAATGAATGTGGGGACTCTATGCATAATTTTTGATGTATGTAGCTGGATCTCTGGGCACAAAGAACTGCGTAGACTTTTTGCGTAGTTCATCTGTTGTCATGGGTGTGGATTGAGGTCATTATGACCAAACGTAGGGACTGGTCATATTGATTGGGAGGAGATGAGGCAATGATTTTACTAATGTCATGCTTATTGCCTCTCCCATGATGACCAATGACTAGACGAAATATCTGAAAATACATTTAGAAAGTCTCATAATATTACTGGAAAAGACTAAGAAGTAAATGCATGAATTAAGAACATACAACATGAATGAGAAATTTTCCTGCAAGACTGAAGTTTTGAAGAGCAGTCAAACTGAATTATTGGAAGAATTCAATTTACCAAATAAAAAAAGTGCAAAACCTTAACAACAGAATCGGTGAGGCAAAAATAATAATTTCTGAGCTAAAACACAAATTTTCAGACAAAACAAAGAAATAAGAAAAACTGAAAATAGCATCCAAGATTTATGAGATACTATTAAACAACTTAACATATGTGCTGTTG